TTTCAGTTTAAAGCCATTGCCCCTTGTCCTATCACTACATACCCTTGTAAAAAGTCCCTCTCCAGCTTTCCTGTAGGCCCCCTTTAAGTACACTGGAAGATTGCTAGATCACCACCCTGGAGCCTTCTCTTCTCCAGGCTGAACAGCCCCAACTCTCTCAGCCTGTCTTCATAGCAGAGGTGTTCCAGCTCTCGGATCATCTTCGTGACCCTTCTCTGGACTCGCTCCAACAGCTCCATGTCCTTCTTCTGTTGGGGGCTCCAGAGCTGAACGATCGCAGTATTCCAGGTGGGGTCTCATGAGAGACAGAGATAGAGGGGCACCTCCCTCGACCTCCTGGCCACACTTCTTTGAGTGCAGACCAGGATATGGTTGGCTTTCTGGGCTGCCAGCACACATTGCTGGCTCATGTTGAGCTTCTCATCCACCAGCACTCCCGAGTCCTTTTCCTCAGGGCTGCTCTCAATCCATTCTCCGCCCAGTCTGTACTTGTGCTTGGGATTGCCCCGACCCACGTGCAGGACCTTGCACTTGGCCTTGTTGAACTTCATGATGTTCTCACAGGCCCACCTCTCCAGCCTGGCAAGGTCCCTCTGGATGGCATCTCTTCCCTCCAGCATGTCCACAACACCACACAGCTTGATGTCATCTGTAAACTTGCTGAGGGTGCACTCGATCCCACTGTCCATGTCTCCAACAAAGATGTTAAATAGCAGTGGCCCCAGTACTGATCCTTGAGGAACACCACTCATCACTGGCCTACACGTGGACATTGAACCGTTGACCAGGAGTCAATGAGCCCCACTAGCTGTTGTGCCAAGACCCTCGTTCCCCTCTGAGAAAGGCAAGTCCCATCTGGTGCCAGTAGGCCTGGTGCCATTTGGCCCATCCCATTGTCAAAAAACCTAAAATTGTGGTGATGACACCAGCCATGGAGCCACGTATTAATGGACTGGACACATCTGCTTCTTCCAGCGTCACTGCTCCGAAATGGAAGGATAGAAGAAAATACCATCTGTGCCCCAGATCCCCTTATCAGCTTCCCAGGGCCCTGAAGTCTCTCTTGATCACCCTTGGACCTCCTGTAGAAGCTTCATCACCACCCACATGGAAAAACAATAACGGGTAGTAATCCCAGGGCTGTACCAGGCTGGGAAGTTTCCTAAAGATGTCCTTAACCCGGGCTCCAGGGAGGCAGTAGACTTCCCTAAGAGAAGGGTCTCTATGGCATATCGGTCCTCCTGTTCCCCTCAGATGGGAGTCACCTATAACTATTACTCATCTATTCTTCTTTGTGGAGGAGGTCGTGATACACAGGGTAGTCCTTTCTGACCCTGGTGACACCACCAGTGCAGATGGACCCTCAGCCACATCATCCATCGATGGGCCTTCCACCTCCAGAGCCTCATACCTGTTGTGCAGAGGCACCTGGGGAGACGAGGTGGGCAAGGAGGGGTTCATCTGCGGCCCCAAGCATGGACTTGCTTCCATTTATTGCTTTCCTTTAGGCTACTGTCTTCTGCCCGGGGGGAGGGGGACCTCTTGGGGTTCTTTTTGTGTCTCCTCCTGTTGCTGTCTCAGGTTGGGCAGAGCATGACACCACCAGTGTCTCTCTTTTTCACACTCCCCGATTCTCCTTAACGTTTCCACTTACTCAACTCTCCAACTATGATGAGCAGTTCATCCACCCGGTCACACCTCCCACAGCTGTTCTCACCACTGCCGTCTGGTACCAGGGAAAGGCTCAGGCACTCCATGCAGCCCGAGACCCGGACAGCCGTGTGTTTCCGTGGGAGCTCTGTCTGCACTGCCACATGCCTCCAGCTGAGTGCAGAGGATTTGGCGTTTCACCGGGTGGACACCACAGCTGAGCACCTCCTGAGAGGGTGACAGGCACCAGCTGAGCTCCCCTCTGGAGCAGGGAGGATGACTGCGCCCTTCTCCGGTGCCCTTCCTCGTGAACCGCCACATCACGCCCTGGCTGACGCGCCGCGCACCGTTTGCCCACTCTGCTCGCCATGCTCCTGGTCGCTTGCGCTCCCTGGGCTGATTTTTGTAGGGGTGGGAGTGACCACTGGCACTCTGGCACTGGCCAGGCCATGTCAGCATCTCCCACGAGAGCTGCTGGCTCCTGGGGAGTCTCTTCGCTCCCCTGGCGTTTCCTGGCTTTTTCAGGAAAAGCCCCTGTGTGCCGAGATCTGCCGCTCCGCAGCAGCATTTACACATGCACTGTCATGACACAGCATTTGTCAAGTGGGCAATAATTAAAAAAAAACATTTGGCGATGTAATGAATTCACCAAAGTTCTGTTTATAAAGAAATATTTTTCACTTTAATCACGACACTAAATAACGGATACAGAGAGGAGTTCTTCGCACAATATAATTAATTATTACAAAGTTCAGATGTGAGATTACAATCCAGTGTAATACAACCATCTCTTTTTACACTACTGCAAGTTTTATGAAGTAATTTTTGCTTTCAAATTTTGATTCACTACACAAAATAAAGAAATAAATGCTGCACATGGTTTCAAATATTCTAGAATTATTATTTAAATCAAATTTTTCAAATTTTACGTTTTTTCCACTCTGGCTTGTCTGTTTCATCATCTTCTGTTTCCACTTCTGCAAAAACTGTTTTTGGCTGCGTTCTGGAAAACATTGAAAAGATTAAAATAATGGTCAGACTACAATTCTTTATCAGAAATTATATCAGACATGCATTAGACACAAATGACATCCCTTCTCTACTTCAAAAAGGAGCATCCCAGACTTGCCCATTTTTTATTTTCAACATAAACCTGTTAACTAACCTTCTAAGAACTGAAGAAACTTGCAGCACTCAGGCAAAGAACGAGCATAACAAACGTACATATTTTGCAAGTGTTATTTCCTCACCAGCTTGCAATCATTATTTGAGTATTCCATCAAAAAAATTAAGACAGAAGAGAGGAACAAACCAATTTAATACAATGTTAGAAAAACAGAGCCACAGGCCTTCTCATTCCGTGGTTTTAAAAAAAGAAACCTCCATTTTGATACACTGTAGTGTGACAGCAGTCTGTAAGTGAAAACAGAACAGCCAAGCCAGGTTTCTGGCTTAGCCTGTGCATGACAAAACCAGCTTCTCCTCCAGTCACTTTATCCAGCACTACCTTAACATAAAAAACCCCAATGATCTTCGCATGAGAACACAGTGTATCCTAGAGTCAAGCTTGATGGTGTCTATTCCTCCACTGTTTACTTGTATTTTAAATAACACTTACAACTTTATAAAAATAATTATTGATTACTTTTTAAAAGAACACAGCACCAAGTAGCAATTCAATAAACTGTTTGGACATTCAGTTCCCCTGTTTCAGACTTTAATCACTGCACGGTCCTCTTTTCCAAGCTAATTCTCAGCACAATCACTGCAGAGCTGAAACTACTAGATTTCTGATGCTGGCTGTGCTCGACTTGTCGTTACAACAGACATGATGAAGTATACAATGCAGCCAAGGCAGTCATCATCTCATTAGTTTATTAACTAATGCTTTTACGGCAGTCGAAGCATGTGAAGCACTATTATAACAACTGTTATTTGGCAGACTCTACAAAATGCATAAGTCTTAATAAAACTGCGTCTGCCTTACTTAACACAATAGGCATAATTCAATATTATCACTGGCTTCAAAGAGTAACAGCAAGCCATCAGCTCTTAAAAAGCAGGACTCTCCTTACATTACACCTAAGCAGACCTTGTACCCAGGTGAGGACCTACATTACTGGAAGTCAGATGAGTCATTCTGCTCTCCACGGAAAGCAGAACTAAGATTTACAAAAATATGCCATTAGAAAATAGTTACATAAACTCTACTTAACCAATCACTGAAGGAGCATTCTAAGAAATAATCAACATCAATCCAAAACCGACACCAGGGATGAAGGATTTATTGGCTGAAATACTGAATTTTGTTAGCTGCTGAAAAGGTGGAATGTATGGAATATTCTTCTCTTTTTTCAAAACATATCAATGGGAGTTTATTTAGCCCATTTTAACAGTGTACCTTCCTTTCATCACAATAGATGAAAGTATTTAAATGCCGTATCAGATCATATCAGGTCAGCATTGAAATGCTTCTTAGTGAAGTGCAGCTAATCAAGTGTAAACCTATCATTTATGATCACAAAACCTGCAACTGTCATAATTTTGATTAGAAACGAAAATGATTAGAAAATGATTTAATTTATGAAACGAGCAGCAGAACCTACATATTTTCCAGGATAGCAGTGGCACAGAAAAATGTTACAGGCTTCAGCTAATGAAAGTATGCTACTGAGTCCAATAAAGCCAGTGGTCAGGTGGGGGGAGAAAAAAAAAAAAGAAACTGTAGCATAATCTAGCAGTAACCAGCTAAAGCCAAAACATACCGAGGAAATCAAGTTTGCTTGCTATCTCTTTTTCCAAAATTAGCATGAAATGGCTGTAGCCTCAGCTCAGCTGAAATGTAAACTGTTCCACCTCCACAAGCTACATAGCAGTAACTGGGGCACCTAGGGTGATTCAGATGCCTGACCATTTTAAAGACTTACAGCATTATCAGCAGCGATCATTTAATTTAAATACAAATTGTTCTGCTTAGCAACTGCACTAGAAATGGCTAGTGTAGCAGCAGTTTGATGCATGATTAATATTTATACAAAAATTATCAAAACAGGTTTACTACTTCAAAATATTTTTATTCGGAGGGCTAAATAATATATGTAGAAAGCTGTGCTCTTTATCCCCATCAACTTTCTCAATTTCATTTATCCTTTACTTTAGGGTTTGATTTCAGTTTGTTATGGATCTGCTTGGCAAATCTCATGGGAAACTGTCATGGAGGGCAAAGGGGCCCAGGATAGCTGGTCGAGCTTTGATGACAACCTCCTCAAAACACATTCCATCTCATGTGCAGGATGTGAAGTCTGGCAGAAGCCTAGTATGGATGCACAGGGATCTCCTGACTGAGATAAACCCCAAACCTCAAAAAGGAGCAACACAGAGGAAGCAGGGACAGCCTTAGCCAAGAGGAACAGAGGCGTTAGGTGAACACGCAGGAACAGAGTTAGGAAAGCCAAAGCTCAGCTGGAGTTGAAACTTGAAAGAAATGTGAAAGGCAACACGCAACCTGGCCAATGTCACTCTAAGGGCACTCTATCATCTTTGACAGGTCATGGTGATTGGGAGAGGTTCTCAATAGCTAGAAAAGGCAAAACACCATCGTCTATATGAAGGGTAAAAGCAGGATTTGGGGACCTATAGGATGGACTACCTAACCTCAGTCCCTGGGAAGGCTATGGAACAAATCCATAATAAGGACTAGAAGGTGATATGGAACAGCCAACATGGATTTAGCAAGAGTGTAATACGCCTGCCAGTCAGACTGCTGGAACAGGCTGCTCAGAAAGGTGTTGTGGAATCTCCATCCTTGAGGATATTCAAACTTGGCTGGGCAAGTCCCTGACCAACCTGAATCTAATTGGACCTGAGCAACTTGATCTAAGCGAATATGCTTTAAGCAGGAGGTTTTGACTAGATGAGCTCTAGAGGTCCCTTCCTACCTAAATTATTCTAAGATCCTGTGTTTCCACAAGACTATCAGCTGAAACTAATATCTCATACACTGACAAATGCATTCCGGCTGTGGGTTACACTAACGGTCTGCTAACAAAAACAGGAAAACAAACTAACATGATCCATCCATTCTGCATGCTTCTCTACTTCAGTGGTTTTCAACATATTCAGACATGCAGGCCCCTGAAGAATTTCCAGAGGCCACGCAGACTGCTTTAGAGTCACCATAATCCCTCTGTTTATGGGTCGTTTTTCTTAATTACCTTTCAGGATCCAATAAAAGTAGCTCATTGACATCTGAGGTTCATAGACTAGCCGCTACAAATATACTGCTACAGCTAAACCAGCTGGAGATGACAATAGCATATCATAGCATGTGACTCATGTCGCACTAACTTTTGAAATTCGTGTTTATACTGCACTGAAACAAAGAAAAAAGAAGACTTAAGCATGTATGAAATCCGAATAATGTCATAAAGACTAATTCCAGACGGAAAAGTAAAGGTTTTCAGCATCAGGCCCCTCTGTATTCCTTACCTCACCTTCTCTTAAATCTCAGGGTCTTCCTTCTCAAAATTACTGATTTCCAGAAAAGATTTAGCTTAAATATACCAACATGTGCCAACAAAACCACTGTCACAAATCATGCTGTTCAGTCCTGTTTCTCCAACGAAAGACACTCGAACCACTGCATGACTAACGCTTCACACACTGGTCCTGCCATTGAGAAAAAGTCCAGTGAACACCCAACAGCTACAGGCTGTTGCTTCAAGTCGTTCCCGTTTGCCTGTGACAGCAACAATGACAAAGACAGCAAAACAGGGGCAACATCACTGAACTGGAAGGTATTTTCTAAGAAGTCTGGTCTATCTCGGGGAGGGAAATTTCGCCCTGATCTTCCCTGTGGTACAGAAGAGAGCTACATCTGGGCCTGATTAGGCCCTCGGCTACAATGCTTAGTAAATCCTGCTGATCCTTCAGAGGGACATCTGAAGTCATTATAGTATCTCTGTACAGCTGTGTTAAAACAAACAGCTCACAAAGAATGTAATTTTCAAACATTTACAAGTGATGCCTCAAGTTCCTTTCCTGTAGTTCTTTAGTTGAAATCTTCAATCTGTCCTTCCTTTCCTTTCACGCCACTGTGATGGCTCTTGCCAAGGTCTCTAACAAGCTTTTTCCTGAAAAGTCTCAAGATCTTTTCTTTATCCTCATCCATTATGACTTTTCTGCTGTGTTCATCACATCTTTTTCCACACTTTATTCACACTGGGCTTCTTGACATGTCATCTCCTGATTCAGCATTTACTTCTTATCATTCCCAGTATCATTTTCAGTAGCATCTGTTTTTTCACCCACCCTTTTGCCTCTTACATACTTCCCCTTCTTTTTCTGGCTCAAATTTTAGGAAAAACAGAAAGGTCAGGCTAATGATAACAAGCTTGAAAAAATTTTCAAGTGGTAAATAATGCAAGTGACTATTTGGCTTCAAGAATAAATTAGGTACCTTTAACTCCAATGAAAAGGAAATATTTGCACATACAGTGTATAAACTAACAGCGAAAGGCATGGTTGCAGGTATTTCTTATAAGCATTCTTAAAGTAAAAATATCATTTAAAAAGCATGAAATCAGTTATGTGATGTAGAATGACCTAATCAGTATGAACCAGGACCAGACGAACTCTAACCCAGACATCACAATCAGAGCTATGAAAACTCCCATCAACCAGAAAAAGTGTTTCTTAGTCTTCTCAGTCTAAAATTATTTAATAATCACCACTGAAGAAAGTAAAGTAACTACAGTTTCCTTAAACATTTTCTTCAAAAAGAGAATGAAAAACTGTAAGTGAATAACCTTCTGTCACACAACACAAAAACGAAAGCCTTGTCAAACAAGAGATATATCAAGAGGATAGTTTTATGCTATATTTAAATGAAAATTTACTACAAGAAATGTGGAAAAACTGATAGCAGAGAAATAAAAGTAGTAAAAAGAATAAACATTATTTAAAAAAATTGAAATGCACTGGATGCATGTTTTTTATGTCTGAAGACTATGTAATTTTAAGTACGTATCAGAATATCACTCAGAATGACTCTATAGTATATCTTATGCTACAGCTAAAGCAGCCAGTTTCCATAGGTTTGTATACTGCTAGTTATTATGAACTCCTGATTTTAATAGGGCCACTGGAGCCACTCTTACAATCCAGTATTATGTGATAATTTACATCAATTACTTGTAATTTGCATATTTTATTAAATATGCATCTCTGAGATGCTTTACATACACCGTAAACATACATGCCCTGTAAAGTCAGATATGGGGTATAATTAACACAGCTTTCTCTACTATCTGTATGTGCAGGCAAGCAGCTAATGAAGCCTATGACTGCCATCGGTCTGCAGCTGATAAAACAGACATCCATTTCTGAAAACTAAGAATACAACACAATTATAAAGAAAGTTTTTGCATTTCAGTGTCTCAGCCAATAATAATAATCATAATAATACTTTTTAAAATGCTCTTTGCATAGAGTACATCTTAAAAGCCAAGCTTTTAAAGCAGGGATAACGGCAGTTTCACTGGCGTGAGATTTATCAGCTGACAAAACCATCAAGGCAGCATGCTGTTGGCTGCAGCCCAGTTCCCCCACATACATATCACCGTCTGGTGTGTAAGTTAATAGCAGTCTGGACTTGCATCCTCCCCACTTCTCAGCCAGCTCTCTTCTTCCCTTGCAGCTACATCTTTAACAAGGAACTGTAATGAGATCTGCCCACCTGACACAGTAAGCCTTCTGTAATACAGCTATGTTTTAAAACTTACATGTCTACTACCTTGCAGGTGTCAGGGACGAAACTTAATACACAATGAATGTAGTTACCGAGCCAAAAATATACTGAGGAATCTATCTATCTGATGGAATGTGTGACTGTATTTACTTTTGAGAACGGATAGTTGCATATCTCAGATAAAACCAGGTGCCTACACATTCAAAGTAAATTTCACCTCTAGCAAACATGAACTCTCAAACAATTACAAATCAATATTTAGCATATTCATTACAACAACTGTTACAGAATCAGGTTTTCAAGTATTCCTTCTTTGGTACCAAGGGTGATACTGTATAATGCATTGATTTGATGTGCAACATTAAATCCTACAGTTATTAATTACCAGTATGCTATACTTATTAATCACCCAGTGAAAGCCAGGCTGGGTCACTAACATTCTCAAGCTGCTTTGGAACAGCTATTCAGTTATCTTTGTGAACATGTGGGTCAAGCCAGAAAACACGTGTCACCACTAGGAACAACTATGATTCTTAATATATTCTGAGTTTCTGGAAAGAGGTGGTGATTGTTTCACTAAAGAGGTAAACACTAACAAAGAAAGTACAGTCAGTAAAGTACTAACGAACATAGTGCCCAGGCGATAAAACACTGGACCGCAAACAACAAGAATAGTGTGTTATTGGCAGACTGTTCTGTGCAGACTACTTCATCTTTTCAAAACTTTTTCCTTATGCATTTTTAAAATACTACTTATATTAGACAGATTGTTTTGTGCAACAAAAACATCAATGATAATAACAAAATGCAAAAATTTTAGTAATTTTTAAAGTGGTAGTTTCTGTTCATTAGTATGAAATGCTTTTATTTAGTATTTATTTTAGTACTATGTATTTATTTAATGGCTTTAATTGTATTTCTTTTTATAAAAGAAAAATCTTTAGTAGAAAGCATTCTAGAAGCACATTGCATAATTTTCAGTATAACATATATACGCAAATACCACACACACATTCAATTTAAACGGAGTAAATTAAATTACCATCTGTGGGATTACAGAGATTTTAATACTATAATCTTGATAAGGCTTTTTAATTTATGTAACGACAACTGAACATTAATTTCTTTATGTTGAATTTTTGGTAGGAGATTTTATTGGTGCAATTTTCAATATTGTTGTTGCACCTTTAACACCAAGTTAATTCAAGCAAGTACTCAGGTCTTTAAGAAAAATTCAACTAAGAACTTACGACATTTGAGAAATCATCTAAAATATGCTATAATAATACTAAGTAAATATTTGGAATGTTTAACGCAAGAATCAGTCAGAGCTAGAGGGCATATTGGAAAATTTACCATCCCAGTCTGTCAATGGGACAGTACCTTATTAAAAGGTATATTGGAATTTCAGACATTGATTTGTAGAAGACTATAAATTCTAATCAACTTAGAAAGCTTTAAAACTATTTTCTACCTCTGATGTGCGTATTTTAAGAATGGAAATGTCAAATTTCAACAATTTAACCTCTTGGAAGCCCTTATCTTCATAAATGAGCATGGCATATTTTTGGTTTACATATTTGTGGTAGCAATCCAGAAAAGGCAAACTATATCATTAAAAACGTGTCTTCTACTTTTACCAAACTCCCACTGGTCTCCAGAAATATTACTTGTATTTTTAATTGTTTCCTTACTTAGCATATGCTGGAGCAACCCAGTACGGATTCTCCTCTGCTTCCTTTGCGTGACGTAAAATAGCCTCTCGAGGGTTGCTATCATCTGTCTTATCCAGTGCAATATTCTTGACTATATATGATGACAAGGTACCTCCATGAGTTCCAACACGCCCACCGCGACCTGCAGGATGGAAAGAAAAAAAAAAAAAAGAGTATTTTAGAGAAAAATATTTTAAGAAATAAACAAAGAAAGGTTGTACTGTGTCTGTAACAGTGATCTGACACAAAGAAGTTATTTAATACTATAGGAAGAGTCTGATTTAGAGCTGCATTCATGTAAGTGTTTTACTGATTATGTGATTAAAGTCATTGTGACTGTTAATTATTCCAGGCAAGGCCCCAATCAAAGAACAACGTCTTAGAGTGCTGGACACTGTCCATACATATAGAGTAGAGACACCATTCAAAAGAAGTTTTGCATGCAAACCTGAACGAGCATGACAACCCCTTTGGCATACAACAGTCTGAAATGATCATGCCTCAATTACCTGGTCCTGCTACTGGAGGCTCAGGTTTGTGAGACTTCATGGGGTCCAGACGATCCTTCTCCAGCTGTTTCCTGGTGCTTCGCTGTCGTGGTTCACGGAACATCGGAAGTGCATGGGCTGAAGGGTCACAGTTTGGAGAAAAAGAAATGTTAGAAATTCCATTACCTTTTTAAACTACCAAGACAAAGACTGGGATTCTTCCTTGCAATGGAAAAGGTGGCAGAAACACCCTCTCAGTTATTCTGTATCCAAACAGTGGTTTACTGAGGTGTATTTTAAAGGGTTTTTCTCCTGAATTTTTCAAAGATGAAAGCAGCCAGATTTCCAGGGTTTCTTCAGGAAGAAGCCTTTCATCTGAAATATTGTTTGCACAGTTTATGCATATTTAACTTATTCCTCTGTCATTCAGTTCTCAATAGCACTGTGACTAACCGGCTGCTCTTTTCTGAACTTTCCATGTTTCTACAGCTTTCCAATACTCTAGGAGCATGACAAAACCCTAGATGCACTCTCGGATCTGAAACAGAGAGGGGCGGAATCTCCTCAATGATCCAAAATGTAATGTTTCTGCTTACGAAGTCACAATCATGTTCTTTCTTAAATTATTAGATTAATCGAGGTTGGAAGAATATCTGTAACTGAGACAATCTGGCTAAATTATCGGGATTTAAAACTTCTATTTCCTCATAAACCTGCTACAGTATCTTCAATCACAGTCATGGTTTTGGTCTATTCAGGCAAGAAACGCATTTGTTAGCAACAAGGAAACACCATGTTAAAGGACATGGTTTTCTTGTGGTGATGCTTAGCTCTCACTTTTAGGTGTGCTGATTGCTGCTGTTTCCCAAAATGCAGATAATTTTGTTAGAGTCAAAAGACTCAACGAAGACAAAAACCAACCAACCAAATCTCAAGTTTGGGGGCACTGGCTCTATATTGAGTAAAAAATGGAAGGCAGCACCCAGAGACCTATCAGTTAGATTTTTCAGCTTATTTCTGGAAGCCTGCTCAACCTATTAGTAGTGAATTACTTAGTGAGTGAAGGCAGTCAGGTGACACAGTAGTAGATCTTTGGAAATAAATGTTTATGTTTTATTTTTGCAGATTTCTGAAGTATGAAATGCCTGGGACAATTTGCTGGCAAGCACTGAGCTCGATCAGTTTGCATAGAGCATCTGAGGTGACTAATGCACAGATTCAAGCTTTTGCCATCCTTACAACATTTTTCTGCATTGCTTTATATGGAAGTATCCTTATTTAGTTTCAAAATGATGTGGAAGAAACAGTTAAACAGCTAAAACTCAGTGATGAAGTTCCAAAACTTCGCATAGTTGTGACCTAAATCTTTGAATGGCATTCATAGATGCCACTGAATACACAAGTTTCATTGGATTTCAAGCAGAAAGTTTTTTTTAAAATCACAAAAGCTCTTTACAGTATTAACAACAGTGCACACACAAGTATTTAGGGAATAGACCATGTGCCAATATAGTCAAGGCTGTAGCAAGGATGGATCGTGAAGAGCACTCTAAGGAGATAAATATCCCTGATCTTTCCCAGCTGCTACGCAAAAACTGGAGCTCGACAGCTGTGGCTGGAGAGTACCTCAGATGGGAACAAAGAACCAAAGCGCCTTGATATGGGCCTGGTTGCCAAGACTGCCCAGACTTCTCATGCTAAACCTTTTCTTCTGTTTATTACACTGCCAAACAACTACTTTGTTCTACAGAAATGGTTTTAGCTATTTCTAAGACCAAAACTACTAGAAAACAGAGCTGAATCCAGGCAGCGTGGAACTGAAGAGGACACAGAGAAGCAGGACAGTACAACCACGTGATTGTTCTCATTTCACACGAGGAAACACTACATAGGGCAACGCTAACAGGGAGGGCCAAAATCTCTCTGTTGAACCCCTCAGCCCTTTGTAAAATTTACCCTTGGGAAAAGGCAGATCACTAAACATTTTAGAGGAACAATGATAACTATTTCTTATGCATCAGTGAGTCTTAATATGAACATAAGGTCTTATACAAGTATAACCCTGAGGCTAGAGAGATATTTAAGCTATTTAAAACTCCATTTAACTCTGGGCAAGTTCTACATTTTGAAAAATCACTTCGAATTTGTTTGAGACCTATCTCTCATGTCTCTGATTTTGCCACTGGTACTGTTTTGCCAAGTGGCAAAACACTTCCTAAACCAATTTAGTTATGAAAAACTGAAGATTTAAGAAGGCTTCTAAACTTTGGAGGTGTTTTGGGGTTTTTTGGGCGTTGGTGGTTTGTTGTTTGTTTTTTTTTTGGTTGGGGTGGGGTGCTGGTGGTGTTTTTTGTTTGTTTGTTTTTAAGGCAGTTGTACTTTCAGGCTCTCAGGTGCATCAGAATCTAGAAATCAACCATTATTATCAACTTTACAGAGCATACAGATCATACACCTTCTGCATTGTGCAAGGCTACAAAAAATTCGGTGAAGCACTAGTATCTCACGCCAACGACCACAACTTAATGAAAGGCTGCAACTTTCAGGAGAGGAAAATATAAAGCCAAATGATATGCAGACAATTTCAAACCTGAGAAAGAAATACAGATGCCGCTACAAAGATATGTTTAAATTCCTTACGTGTTATAATGTAATCCTGTGTAAGAGTCTCTGCTTGTCTCTCTTTTCGTTTTGTTTTGACCACGCATAATTTTGCTCCCCTAGGAGGAAACATACAGCAGTTCAGTTGGTCTGTTTGTATCAAACAGAAACTATTTTTAATTCAAGACACAGTCTTAACAAAATTATATAGCACTTCAAATATTCATGAATGTGTGTATCTTTGCCTGTCCACGCACACGAGAAGGAGAGTAGAGAGATTAGTATTTCTGTTATAGAGCAGTTTATATGACATGTGGAAATAAGAGTGGAAGATTCATTTCACACTTCATTTGTCCACAGTACTTCTAGCATGCACACCGAAAGTGCTCCTCTCCAAAGAGGGCAATGATTTGCTCCTAGTACTTTTCCGAAGGAGCAGAGGTGGCAGCTATCTAACCATAGGTGCCTGTAGCGCTGCAGCAGGAAAGACCGCACAAGCCTGGCTGCAGTAATACTGATTTAGACTAGCGCTATCTTCCTCTGCATGGTAAGTACCAGGAAACAAAACGGGCACAAAATTGAACTAGGGCTCTTGTGGTCTGGGCCTAGGAGACTCAGGCTGCCCTCTGGAGAGGTACATACTGCACCATGAGCCCAGAGGAAAATGCACTGCTTTTCAGAAACAAACTTTTTTTTTTTTTCTTTCTACTGTTACTGATTAAGTAAAACTCTGCAAAACAAATGTTACTAAACCAGTTTTTCTCATTCTTAGTATAATCATAGAAAAATACAATTAGGCTAAATTTGAGAAATATATAATATTCTTAATCATTAATCATGACTACGTACCTCTGGCTTTTGACAGGATCATAGTACACTTTGGCCAAACCATTTCCTGTACCAACCATGATCTGGTTCAGCTTGGGATGCCAAAGGCAACGCACAACACTCTGAAATAAAGCAACGTATTGGTAGTTAGTTGGTCCTTCATCTAGATCTTAGAATTAATATACATACTGTCAAATAGCAGATCAAAGTCACACTGTAGGAGTAACAGGCTTAAGCATATGAACGAATATAGGAATGAATAAAAGTTCCTCTCCAGGGAAGAACACAATGTACAAGGAGTGACAACACACGGATGTAGACGGAGAACGAATACAAATTGGTGGCAGTGTGATAACCAGTGGTTTCCACAGATGAACTGTTACAGGATCTTTGTGGGCATAACGGAAACAGAAAGTTCAAGGGGGATTTGAAGAAGAACAACGAAGTGCTTCAGAAATAGCAATGCAGGCCTTCATGACTTCTGCATTTTTATTTTTTATTTTTAATTCTTAATTCTTCCACCCTGTTCTTTATCTGGTTTTCCCTTCTTCTCGCACAGTGCTGACCTTTCACTCGCTGACTGCAGAAACAGAAGAGCAGCTGATTTTCACTCTTCGTTCTTTCTTCCCCACAACACCCAGAACAACTTGGTATTTGAGCCAATGTCTCACAGCTCTGTCACCCTTCTGGTCAGCAGAGACATTCATTTTCAGACATTAAAAGCATTGTCCTTTTATACACACGGCGTGGTTCCCCGTGTGACTTTGAATCTCCATGTGATTTCTCCATTCAGCCTGATTCAGCAGGCCAGCACAGAAACCCTGCAAGACTCGAGCGAGCCAAAGCAGCAGGCATAATCTGCCACGGAGGACAACACATCTTAACACAAACACAAAACCTGTAGGTGCATCTAACTAACTGCGGGGGAAGAAGTATCTATTCTTGAGAGACAGTAACTCTTCAAAGCAATACAGCTCAAGACCTGAAGACAGGTCTTAACAGTGTTTGTGTTACCTACCTAATAAATGTATCCAGACCCAGGAGGATGTATCATCCTGCTAGTATTTCACTGAACAATGCTAATTTTTCTAGCCCTTTTTCCGCCAAGCTTACTTTTCTTTCTCAAAACCAGGAAGACTCTTCTCAAAGTGAATTAATAATTCAATATTCAACAGCTATCATCCATCTGCCATTAAAGTATCTATATATATGTATACACACACACTTTTTTTTTTTACATAATACAGTACATAAAACTCACAAAATGGGAACCACTAATGTCATAATAAGATAAATACAGCAAAGCTAAAATACAATTAGGGGTGTAACACAGATCTATAACTTGAGAGATAAGAACTATCTAATCTGGAAGAGAATGGTTATGTATGAACACTAGTGACTCCTGAATCACACTTCCCATTTCATGTTCCATACTATTTCTGGTTTGATCCAGATCTCATTTTTTTCAATGTTACGAGGCACATGACATAAAAAATATTAGAAAAATTCTGAAGCTCATTCAGCCATCATGAATCAGAACTTCATTTTACTACAAGATGATGGATGACTCCCTTCTGAGCTGTTTTCCTGCTCTGTGTTCTTGTGTCAGATGAAAAATTGAACAAGATGAGTTTACATGAATCAACTGACCATTCTTTACAAGGTTCCTCTGTAAAATAACCTCCTTCCACACAGATATACATACAACATTACACCTTCCCATTTACCTACAGGTACAAATAAACCTGGCTTGCCTACTACAAGACAATTTAAGGACAACAATCTTTTTACAGGTAACTCTGAAGTACAAAGTAGAATTCTGATAATGCATTACGCCCATGATCCCTGCCACACGCGACCAAATTAACCAGCACAGGGTTGCTAATAAGTGGTTTGATTTAAATAAAAGATACTTACACACTGTATGTAACGCTGAAAACGCTATGTAAACCCTAAAACACACAGAGCCAGTAAGAAGTACTGAAGGTCAAAGGTGGGTGGTCTTTTCTTTTATTAATATTTATTGCATGTGTTTAGCCAGCCTTTTTAAACTTTGTAGTTAATGTGGTTCTCCACTTTCTACTGTCAAGTAAATGTATTTTATAGCATGGTACTGGATACTAGCCAACAAAAACAAAGCCTGAGACAGTGTGGCTCAGCACTGATGGGGATTGCTAGGTTTCTAACTTGTCAAACATACACAGCACACTTAAAACCACCACAGCACGTGCTCCAGAGCAGGCAAAAGAAACTGTCACTAAATGCAGCTCTATAAATCTCCTGAAGACTGTAAAAAGTCCCCAGAATATAATTTGTTAAAAACTAAACAAATACAAGCTCTGAACATGCAAGTAATTTCATTAATCCACTGGCATATAAACCTACCTTGTAAGAAATAGTAAAACCCACTTATGCAGATTTTCAGATTATTTAGAAATGGGGAATACTTTAAAAAGATCAAAATACTGAATTTCTGAACTAAATCCTAGTATTTTTTCCTGATCATACAATCCTAAAGAAGTAAAAATTCAAAATAACTATAGAACAAAGGGATCATTGTAGACTAGGCCTTAACATTGGGTATGAGGAGAAAAGGGGAATCTTTATCATACAAAACCAATTAACTCTTGAAGAGCATTTATCCTTTGATGCCTCTAACTGTCCTACTGTTTACATTTAGCATAACTCAGGTAGACAGCTTTATCACCGGAAATGCTAAAAATCAAATTCCAGCTCAAAGAAGGTCCTACCTCCCAGCTCTCCAGGCAAGTAAGTATGTTAACAGCGGGAAAAAGAAGTGTTTTCTTTTCCTGGCTTGGCCTAGCTATGCACATAGGTAGATACCCTCTTACAGACATCGAATTTTACACAATTACAGAATAGTTGTGGTTGGAAGAGAGCTCTGGAGATCACCTAATTCACCTCCCCTGCTCCAAGCATGGTCAACTATTACAGGTAGCTCAGGACATTGTCCAGTTTGGTTTTGAGTATTTCCAAGGATCGAGACTCTACAGCCTCTCTGGGCAACCTGTTTCAATGTATGACCACCTCCGCCATTAAAAAAAAATGAAACCCAAACTTTGAACCGTTTTCTTATGTTGAAGTGGAATGTGCTGTAATTAGATTTGTGCTTATTGTCTCTTGTCCTGTCACTGGGCACCACTGAGCTTTGCTTTGTCTGCTTCACCCTCCTGTCCTGCTTCGAATATTTATACATCAGATCCTTCATGAGACTCTTCTTCTCCAGGCTGAGCAGTCCTAGCTCTCTCAGTCTTCTGTGCCAGATACTCCAAGCCTTCAATCGTCTTTCCCATCCTTCACTGGACTCACTCGAATATGTTCATTTCTCTCCAGCTCAGAGCTGGACCCAGCACTACAGATGTATCTCACTAGGGCTGTGTAGACGGCAATAACAGCTTCCCCCGACCTGCTGGCAACGCCCTTTGGCTCAATGCAAATGCTCATGAGCTTCCTGCTGCCACTTGCTGTTTCTCTGAGATGGAAAGGGGATTTGCCATTCCACAATCACTTTTTGAGAATAACTTGTTACATTTTAAGGTCGTGCTCTGCAATGGAACCCAACACAAACAAGGTGGTACTTCAGTTTTAACTGTCCCTGACACAGGAGCTTAGGCTGGAAGCAATAATCTCAGCAGTTAAGAGCAAACTGCAAGCTCTCACTCCACTTACCAAGGTGGTTTCATGCTTAGAAAGAGAGGTAAAAGAGCAGGGAATTGAATTGCCTAAAATTGCTTTATGGAAACCTAGCACAAAAGACTTGACTAACCGTAAGTACTGGTTGTAAAGAATCATAGAATGGTTTGGGTTGGAAGGGACCTTAAAGATCACCTAGTTCCAACCCCCCTGCCATGGGCAGGGACACCTTCCACTACACTAGGTTGCTCAAAGCCTCATCCAACCTGGCCTTGAATGAACACTTTCGGGGATGGGGCAGACACAACTTCTCTGGGCAACCTGTTCCACTGCCTCATCACCCTCAGAGTGAAGAATTTCTTCCTTTTATCTAATCAAAATTTATCCTCTTTCAGTTTAAACCCTTTGCCTCTTGCCTTATCACCATATACCCTTGTAAAAAGTCTTGTGGATGACAGCTTCGAGACTCAGAAAATACGAACACCAGAACAACAACAAAAAACTTCAGTTAACTAATTCTAGATTCAAACATTCAACACAGAAAGATTTAACATATTTCTTATAACATTTAAAGCTGAAACAAGACAAACCTATGTACTTTTTGAAATAAAAGAAATGCCAGGTCATATATCAGCTTTGCAAATGGAAAATAATGTCTTATTACAACAAGTAAGAATGATAAAATGCAGAATTTATCATCACAGAAACAACTTCAGCATTTGAAAAAAGATTTCTGTAATGGCTGGATGTTTTGGACAGTGTATATTTGGAGCATGAGGTCCTGGAAGCCTGTTATAAAAATCCTGAAAATAATTTTATCCATCGAACTGATGTGGCCAGCTTTGTTACTGTAAGATCTGAAAATACAGCACTTTAAACAAGACAATTACTAATAATGACTTAAAAGCTGTTTGGTACTTTTGCTGTTGCAAAGGCATTAAGTTCTTCAAATGAAATCAATCTGAAAAGCCTTTGGCAATGTCTATTGCATATACAAACACAGTGGACTGCATTGGGAAATACTGGGAAAAGATTGTGAAAATATTTTTGTGAAGTCAGGCAGAGAAAATATTAAAGAGAAACACTCCAAATTTACCTTCCTCGTTGTCACTGTGAAAGAGGTTAGAATAGATTCAGTAGGTGTTACTGACAGTAGGCCTTTGTAATTATTTTCAGGTAACAGGTTGTCTTGTAATATACCTACACCATTTCAAACACTTTTTTTTTTTTCCAATCTGGATGAAAATGTTTACCTTCTTAAACAACTGCCTAATAAAATAAGAACATATTACTGATTGTTCTTGAAACTAGCCGTACCTTTTTCTAAAGTTGCTATACTAATAGAAAATATTAATTACCTGAACAATACATAATTTTTACTTTATTTTTAAACTAAGCACTATACCCACTTAAGACTCCTAGTTCTTTTAAAATAAATTTCAGTTTTCGAAAATTTTACTTCTCAAAC